CTGCAGCTTCCCCACCGCCCCACCCAACGATCACCCTACATGGACAGTACGATTTACGACCCTCGGCCCGCGCCCCCCGATACATGAGCAGCCACTGGGTCCTCGCGAGCTTGCGACACTAGACGACAAAATCGCCCCAAGACCGAGTGGTTCACTATCCCCCCCTCGAGAGCGGAGGCGTCGGGCCAACCGCAATCAACCGGTGTGCGCTAAGGCATATCCGTCTGCCTGCAATTTCGTCGACGCGGGACTCAGACACCGGTGTCTCTCGGCGTCATGAGGACAAGCACGCGCCACGTTTTTGATTGGGCGGACTAGACCTTTTTCGAAGTGTTTCATGCACAGGCCATGCGTTTACGCCGGAAGTACTCGTGTTCGACTGCATGCGTAAATGCTAACAACCGGCGCCCCCGTAGGACGGCATTGGACCCGCAAGGGTCAAATGACGAACCCGTTCGCGGGACATCAATAACATGATATATGAGGGCTTCATCAAATAACTTTGAGTGGAGCCAGAAGTTGGAGTACCAAACACTGACTCCAGGTACTCATCTGAGTACCTCACTGAGAAAGTTATGTGCACCCCTGTATGTATATATATTGACAGCCAATGAGTGACGTCTGAGGAAGATGACAAATGTAAATTAAACATTGTTGAGAAAATGCTGCACCTCTTGCATTTATTGACATAGAGGAGCCTTATTGTTTACCTTTTTAATATCATTTTTTGTAATTTTCAATTGCTTGGTTTTCGTGAAATTAGCCTGTTTTCCTATTAAAGTGTAGCAGATTGATGCATCTCCACAGATCATCTTAAAGGGCTTCGGAATCCCCCCCATTGTACTTAAAAAACTGTCAAAACTAGGGCCCCCAAACAGCATCTTGCATAGGGCCCCCAAAAAGCTAGAAACGGCCCTGTTCCTGGGACCCTCACATCGTACAAGGAAAAACTTCCGGAGAAAACCCCACAGTTTAAAGGGGGAAATGGGAGAAACCTCAGGGAGAGCAACAAAGGAGGGATCCCTCTCCCAGGACGGACAGACGTGCAATAGATGCCGTGTGTAAATCGAAGAGATAATACATTTTACAGCGTAGGTAGACCAAATGTTTGGAAATGCATGTGTCTTTATAATTTGTTATAACTATTGTTGAAAAGGCATTTTAGAAACTATAATTGTATAGATATAGGCGGATTTGAATGCCTAATGAGGGTGTCATAGTTATACCAAATTACATGAAAGTAAAATATTAAACAAACAAATATTAAAATATTAAAGAAAGAAGCACATTATAGTTCAGACAGTACTTACATTAAGTACATGGAATAAACTAGCACAAGCACAGTAACACTGCTTTTGTTCTGGGTCATAGTGTCATGCTTATAATCTGAATTAATGAATGAATAACCACAGAGAGCGAGAGTGAGGCCTGCGGCATGAAAAGGCAGAGTGTCTCGTTCATTTGAAGGTGACACATGGGAAGGTAAACTCTCCCTATAATCCAGACGGATGACAGCGTTAATCCTCTAAAGTGATTCCCTCCATTAAACACATTTTAACCCTCCCGGGCTCTGCTGCTTGTCTGGGAGGTTGGGGGAGTTCAGCAGTACTGTGAATGGTGGAGAGACACCTGTGTGTGTGGCGTATGACGAGAGCTCTGCATGAGTCACACACACACACCAAGTGTGAGTCACACCAGGTGTTGGTGTTGACCAGACGGAGATTGCTGCATTAGTGGGTTTTCGGTTCGTCATTTAAAGAAAAATGACAAACTCTTTCGTTGATAGCCTTAACATGATTGAATCATTGTTTCATAAGATGTTAGAAAAGGTTATGCGTCAAAAGCATTCAAACCAATCAGAAATTGCATAGTTGTATTGGCAAATATGCAATTTATTTTAAATGATGAAGCTGTTTAGCTTAGCACAAAGAGGGGGTATACAGTCAGTGCAGTTTGGATAATACCATAACCCTAACCCACATGTTGCATTGTTTATGATAAGCTAACCTGCAGACTGGAGCTTCAAACTTATCCAACATACGTTATCGATCCCAAATCTACAGAGCAAATGCCTAGAATGCTAGTATTTCTTCAAAATGTAATTTGAAGTATGAAATGTTTTATCTAACATTGCTATGATATCGCCCTTCCTACCTTTCTTGCCAGATATTTGTTCTGATTAAATTGACTGCTAAACTGTTAAATAGACTGATTTGAGTAAAGCTGTTGTTTCTGTTATCAAAAGTCAAGTTGTTCATTTGATAACTGCACTAACAGGTTACTTTATATTGTACCTATGATATGTTTTATGCACAGACAACTCAGAAGCTGGTAAACTGGTCATCTTCAAGTGGAGATCATGACTCGTCGTATATAGACAGTGAGTCAGCAGGGCTCAGGGGGAAGAACAGATTGTTCACATGATCCTAAATGACACCACTAATACTGATGCTAATAACAAACTACATCATGCTCATGGTATGTGGCGGATGATATTTGAGAACAAATTATGCTAAATATTACTTTTAAAATGTAACAATTACAATGTGGCCTAATAGCTTAAAAATTAGATAATTTGCAGATAATTTAAGTCATTTCAAGTCAATGTATTTACTTTATAAGATAACACCAAATAATGCTTTATGTTCCCATCTGTCGCTGGTAAAGAAAAAATAATAATAATAAATCCAGCTTTTATTTTGAAGTATAACATTTTCAGGGCAGTCATTCATTTTTTTATTCACTCTCTTCTAATCCCTTCTAGACTCTGTGTCTCTATACATACAT